ATATATATAGATTTCCCACATTTAATCAGGGCGCTAAAATGATAATAAATTGGCTTGGTTCATGTCTATTGGGGGTCTTTGTTCGCGTGATTGATATGATAATGGTATTTTTATTCAGCTACACAGGCCACACTCAATCAGAAATAAACAAGTACCGATAACGACATCAATAAATACTGTCTCATGCAAAATTATCAAAGAAAATGCGATTTCTTCTTGGCTTTTCATCCGCGCATGATGAGGATAAAAATAAACACATATCCAAAATGTCATTTCATTCAAATGAAATCACAACAAAGGAGTGAGTATGATCGAGATCGGTTTCGGTAGAAAAAAGATGCAAGGGAGAAAAGAGTTGTTGGCGCTAATAAACACGTTCTTGGAATCGTTCGAATCAGCGCATCTGTTGCGCTACTATTTTTTAAGATGATGACATTTAATTTTTTTACCGATGTCATTGTTTACGCGGTTTTGGTTGTCTCGTAGAAAAAAGAGAATCTATATCAACGGCAACACACATGTCGCCCAGATTTGGATCAACAAAAAGACAGACGCACACACCCAGATTTCGATTTGATCTTTCTGTTTACTCGCTGCTTTGTTTTGTTGTTCGAATGAAATTGGTGTCACTAGTTCCACTTACAATCAAGTGAAATGAATAATTGTTCATTTGGACGAAATGTTTTGGTTGACGACTCGATTGGCCGTGGCAAAGCACAGAAAGTCCTTTTTGACACGACACAGACACACGTTCACACAATTGCTCAAGAATTGAGCGCAATTTTATTCAAATTGATGGATTTGAACCATTCGAGCCGAAATTCGAGCTGGAAAAACCCAATTAATTCATTTGTCGCAACATTAAAACGGGCTCACATCAATTATCCATATCACCTCTGAACCGTTCGGCTCCAATGCAAATTTTCAGTTTGCATATATAAACAATACCATCGCGAATAAATGAATTCAAGCAGTGTTTATTTGTGATTTTGTCCATTGCGATAGTATTAACAGTCGCGAAAGGATATTTTTTTTTCGTATTTTGTGCTTTCTCTTCAGTTCGTTGGTTTTGTGCAAATTTATGCGCAATTTTCGATATTAACACACACAAAAGCCACTCCGGTGTTTGTTGTTGTTGAAATTTTACTTATTCAAACCAGTAAGGGATCTGATTTCGATCATCTGACATAAATAAACCGATTTATTATTAATTCAACTTCCGATCGATTAATATTCAAATAAGTCGATGTTTTTCTTCAACTTCCACTACAAGAATTATGAGAAGAAAAAAACATTATGGCACGTGGTCAGCACGAGAACACGAACACGAGAACAATTTACTCTCCAGATCATGAATAAAAATTTTTTTGTGTTTTTTCGCTCTCGCGCGCACAGGCTTGTGATTAACTTACGAATTCGATTGGTTTTGAACCTTGGACAGATAGTTTTGTTGAAAGGTTGGCTCTTACCGCTGTCATTTCATCACTTTTATTTACTGATTCCAATCGGGATCAGATCCGAATTCACGAGCTTTTATGGGCGTTCGTCACCTATGTCAGTGATTTGCATAAATATCATCGTCGACGTTAGCATATTATTCATGATTTCTGGTGTGTGTCTATTTATGATTTGAATTACAACCAGTTGCATTTCTTAGTTATTAAAGATAATACAAAACGGGAAGCAATGGCTCCGACAGGCGAATGTTTATGTTTTATTTTGGGAACAATGATGCGTGCGTACATGTGTGTCGTATTGTGACGTTTTTTTGCGGAACTATTCAAATACCGGTGTCGATGTTTTATCTCAATGTTACGGAATGCTGAAGATACTGAACAACACATCATTTATGCACATTAGGCTTGTGGGCACATGGTCAGACGCTATCTTCATGGATTCTAAATGGATGGTACAGGCTAAACAGGCATTCCAAAGAGTCAACCTTTTACCAATTCTAATTGAACACCGAATTGATCCCGATAGCACCTAGCTCCGATTTATTTTTATTTTTTCTTCTCATCAACCCAAAATAGATTCAAGGAATTTGATATGGAAAATGAATCGTCGTTGCAAGAGAGGTAGAGGTGGAGAGGGAGAGAGAAAGAGAAAGCGAAGAAAAGACAATAAATATCGTACTCAAACATCGATCTCTCAAAATTACAATAGATAAACAATGCAAAAACTTGCTCAAATGCAAAAACTTGTAAATTTACATTTTAACCGAAAGATCGACATTTGGTTTCGATTAAAAGGTTCAAATGATCTTAGAGTTAATATTTATATTGATTTGAAATTCTAATTGCAATGCGATTAATTGATTTGATTCTGGTTTTTAAATCGTCAAAAAATCTTGAAAAAACGTTAATATAACGCTATTAACACCTAGGTGTTGCTGGCAAATTACATATGGTCTTTAAAAAGATCAGCATGACGTTGTTACACACATTAAAAAATTGTCGACGTTCTTAGCTGCCCTTTGACTGATTCTCGTTTCTCTTCGAAAATTATCTCCTTGACGTTACTTTGACCTTCTGATAAAAATCAAACTTTTCCCCACATCATACCATACCATATTAATTGAAGAACTCGAAAAATCGATTTGATTAAATCCGACGATCAAATTGATTGACTTTTGTGGTTTTCGTTCTTTATCTATGATTCAGTGCCCACGTTCTTCACTGCCGCGCTGAAACCAAACAAATATCTGGCCACGTTCCATCTGATAGAAGACCTACGAGACACTCAGCTTTGATATCAAACGTACATTAATTACATAAATTAGTTTTTTTTATTGCAACATCTTTCACTCCGTAACAGTCTCTCTCTCATGCAAAGGAACAAGAAAACGAGCACTTACGTCATTATAATTTCGCAAACCAATTGGACACTCACACTCTAACTCAAACATTAAAAATTGCTAGAATAGGAGTAGCAAAGTGGACTGAAAAAGATCTACATAGTGACCAAAACATTTATTCTTCACATGAAGCTCAAGTCTTTTCACTTGTATCATTAAAAACCGATCCAGTATTTATTGTACGTACACACTTGCCATTAAAAACTTAAAACGAAACACGAATTTTAAAGCTATTTTTATATTTATTTTATTCGGGCGAATAATTGAATCGTGTATTTTGCATCGTGTGAAATAAATATTGCTTAAAAAAATTATTAATGTTTATGGTGGTTTTAATGCCATCATTAGGGAATGTGGTTAACCAAGAGTAAAGTCCAAACCTTCTTGAGGTGGCGTGCAGATGTGCTGGCGATATAAATAAAAACCAAAGTAGAAGAGGACAAAAAAACCAGAAAATTAGGAGTTTTGGTCAAATGTTGTGTCAATGTGTTGTTCAACTCTTGGATTTTTCAAAACGAAATAACTGCATGTTGCCACTTTGACGTCATACGTATGCACACAACGCCAATAAACTAGATACGATTCGGTCGCCCGAACGAAAACTTACAGTAACATAAACAAATGAATAATGGGCAATAAACAACTAACTGCAAGCGATGATTAAACCAATGCATCGAGGAAAATGGAGGATGATAACACAATTTATACAGCATTTAACCGGGAATATTCAATGAGTCGCCAATGACGTCAATCCTATGCGTTCCTGTTTCACCGAACCACTATCACGCCAGCCGTTGGATTTATTCTGATCAGTCTAAATATAGATGACCATAAAAAATGGACAATTCGAACCCATTTTCAGCCAACCAACCATGTTATGTATTTTCTTATGCGCGTTCGAACTCAGTGTGGACTGTTAACCCATTAGCTACTGTTGATCGGAAGTCATACCATTAAACGCATTTATTTTTCTCATGCTCACATCTTTTTGTTGTAAGATTTTTGTTGAAGATCTATAAACTTTGGGAAGAGAACAATACCGAGTCATTTCAAATCTCATAACTTGGCCAAATTGATCCATGAAAAACATGTTTTTCTGCTTTCATATTAATTGTTGCCAGTTTCTATGCACATTGTGCATTGTGTACAATCATTTTTTGCGGAACAAAAGCGAACTAACGAGAAATCTTACGGAAAGATTTTTTTTCTTCAAGAAATCAAGGAATCCCATAGTTGATGGGTTAAATTAAAATTCAACTACCAAGTGCGTTCGTTATAAATGATTGACCATCAAATAAAACTTGAATCGATCACACCAATGCAAACAAGTATATGTACGTATTATAAGTGTTCTAGAAGGCAATTTAGGAAATAGCCAACGTGTAGAACAATGATGTTAGCCATCGGGTAGTTTTTCGCTCATTTTCCGTTGTTGAAGCTAGAAAATGGACAACAATCACTATCAGAGATCAATTGATATCCAGACATTGACAACCCGTTTGCAAAACATCTTTTATGCACTTCCTGTTTGAATTGAAAATGAATGTCTGATCCACTTACACTGAATTTTACTCATTGTACCATATGAATTGAAACTAAAGATAAAACGAGTTAATCAAATCGCCTAAAATATTAGATATATAAAAGGCGATTAGCGAAAAGAAAAAGAAAATAAAGCGTAGTGAAAAGAATATTTAGTTGCCCTTGGCAATGCTGCAGAATGTCATTCAATTATCAACACTTTATTGCGTCGTTTTGAATCTTTTATTGTGAGTGTGTGCTGCTCATGACCTGGCTGCAAACAATAGCAACGTTTATATTAAGTAGTTTGCGAAATCGGCCATTACACTTTTTGAAGTTAATTGTTCATTTGCATGCATTTCAGTCGTGAACTTGACCCATCGCCAAATGTATTTCGTTTGCATTTCTTACGAATCCATTGGCACACCTTTGACATTACTTGAATTTAATACATTTTGAACTGCGCCATTGCATTTTAGACAATGTTATAATATGTTTTCTGGAATTCATCGATTTTATGAAGTGTTCGCCAAATGAAAATTGCAATTAATCAATGAAACAACGTTTTTTTTAGTTTCTAATAAACAAATCTTAAAATTTAATTCCGGAGTTTTACATAAAAGTGTACAGCTTGAAAATAGGTAGAATTTCTTTAGGTAATATAATGCTAAAAACGATGGACGATGTTCGCTTAACGACGATCCGTTTTGCCAGTACCACGTTTTCCACTGAATAGATGTTTGGGCATTTTTGTACCGATGAATCGATCAGCTTCACCTTTGCGGCACGTTCGTGTCACCTTTCTGGCAATGTCTCTCTTTGCCATGATGTTCAATTTACGCTTCATCTGCAAATAAACAAGGAACGAGCAAAAATTAGTTTTTGCAATGCCAAATCAATCCAATGTATTAAAGGGAATTGGATGTGTTTAAGAAAAAATGAATGTGAGATGGAAATATAGAAAGAAGGGAACACTTACAACAACATTCTTAACACCAAGTTCATGGCGAGCAGCGGCTCTCTTAAGTGGTTGACCTGTACTTCGAACAACAGCCGACGATTCCTTATCCAATTTGGGAGCCTGTTTCGTGGGCAATGGCACCAGTGTGCGTTTGGTGTCGATGACTTTCTTTGTGAAATTGGCTTGTTCGGTGCCTGACATATCAACACCAAGATTTTCCATCGTAGTTTTGAGCTGATCAATGTGACGATCTTTGATTTTCGGCATCTTGTGTCTTGGGATTGCCGAACTGTTCTTGTTGCTTGACAATCGACGGTCATCGCGTAGCATAAATCGTTTGGTGCGAATTTGTGCGGCCATTTCACGGATTTCTTTCATCGTTTGATCCAATGTCATATCTGGTGGACTATACAAACCATTCTCTTCGCGCAAACCTTCTTCACGTTCCAATTCTTCGAGTTTTTCGAAAATATCCAAATCAATGTAGTCGGCAATGTTTTTGCCTTCAAAGAATTCAGGAATGGCATCGTGACGCTCTTCCTCTGGAATTGTTGTGTAGTTCTTTTGCAAATCGAGCGTGTAATCGTCGCCCAATTCGATTTCCAAATCCTTTTCGAGTTTACGTTTTGGTTTCTGTAGGGACTCCTTGAATTTCTTCTCCAACACACTGTCCGGAATACATGGTGGACGTTGGACATTGTCTCGTTCTTGTGGCACAGCTACGTGCAATCGGTTCAAAATGCCATCAACCTTCTTCGTTCGCATCTTTTGATCGACACGATAGCTGAGCAAACGTTCACATGCCTCAACTTTGACTTCGTTCACACCCAATTCGGTGACGGTTGACATTTGCATGATTGGAACATTCTCATCAGCTTCGATGCGTGCAAGTGCGGCACGACGATCGGCTGGCAAATCATTCAATTCCATAACATCGATTTTATTGACCACCGTTATCAATGGCTTGTTTGTGAACAACGGTTTGATCGATTCGAATAGTTTGACTTGTTCGTCCAGCGAATGGCCACATTGCTCAGAAATATCCAATACATAGAGCACACAAGCACGCAAATGAGCCAATGCAGTAACTGCTTGCATTTCAATAACATTTCGCTCTTCTAATGGATGATCCAAGATTCCAGGTGTATCAATCACTTGCCAACGCAAATATTTGTAGTCAGTGTGACCGACAAACAAGCTCTTTGTTGTGAATGCATACGGTTGCACTTCGACATCGGCCCGGGTGATTTTGTTGATAAAACTGGATTTGCCAACATTGGGAAAACCACAAACAATAATCGTGCGCGTGTACGGATCAATCGATGGCAAACGCGACAAATGTTGACGCACTTGTTCCAAATAGGCTAAATTGGCACCTTGACGCTTCATTATCGTTGCCATACGACCCAATGCAGCCTTTTTCAATTGTTTACAACGATACAATGAGTCACCGTATTTCAACAAACGCACATAATCCTTGGCAACACTATATCCAGCACAAAAGAAAATCGGAATGCAGATTAGGATAATGTTGCACGGAAGCAGCAATACAACGTACGATAGTACTTACTTGTCAATCAAATGTCTGGCCGTGTTGAGTTGACCCAATGCCAATTTGTAATGATCTTTATCGTACAACACGTTCATTAAATCGGCATAAAATGGGTGGACATCGTCCAATTTCGGGAAGTCCTGAATAATTTGCGTGAGACGATCATGGAAATTTTGCTGCGTGAATTTCACTTTTCGTACGTAAAACGCCCGGATTCTTGATATTTTGTATCCTTTGTGCACAACGGTTGGTGTTTTTCGTTGTGTTTTCGATAACATAATATCGATAAAGTCCTAAAAAAAACAAATGAAAATCAATTCCGTTATTCCATCGTTTTCATTGCACTTCGAACATGCCAATTTCGCAGCATGTGTTTTTGTGTATTCAATGGGCTTTTAGGTTAAGTTTATCCATTCAAATACAAAATTTATTGCAATTTCCGTAGATAATTGATAAAAAATATTACGTACCTTTGCTGGCGGAACCACCATAATCTTCTTAAAATTGTATAAACTCATTTTTTGATTTGTTTATTTGTTACGAAATTTCACAAAATTTCGAAATTATAAGACAGTATGCTGATCCAAACGAACAACACACACGAGGTCTTATTTTTGAAAGAACTCAGCGAAGAAACGTCACTGTTGAGCTGCACGGTACAGTGATTATGACAACTGAAAACACATGGTGTGAGCAAAATGTGAGAAAGATGGCCGTAGACTGGGTCTGCAACGCCATCTGCCACATAAACTGTATGGGTGGAGTCGCCCCGAATTTGTATCAATCTACCAAATTTTTCTCTGTTCGCCAATCGACTAGCTTTTGTTGGTGTACTAAACTTATTTAGAAATTTCATTCAAAAATGTATGAATTTTTTTTTTGCTATGGCCTCACTGGACCAGACGATTTTTTTTGGAGACGAGCTTTGCAATTAAGCTGCTTTGACGATACACAAGTTTGAATGAACAAACCACGAACGAGCGTGGAAGACGGTTTTCGCTATTTTATATTCCATAACGAAGATGAAGAAACATAAAAATCGACAATAAATTCATTTAACGATGCGATAAACTCTTTTCTACTCCGCATTTTTAAATTTAAATGCCAATTATTATTACTTAATACATTTAAAATTGTGTGTTGAGTGCAATATTTTGGATTATGAGCGTCTAATCGAGCGATCTGTGCTTCTTCTTCGGTTTTCGTATTCGATTTTCCTATCATGTGTATTCCACTTTTTGTGTTATACTTAGAATTGCTGTTTATAGAATGCATATAACCGGGTTCCACGATTAATGTTCTTATGATTTATTTCCATATATCAATACATATATACTTCGGTTAGCAATCATTTTCATTTTCATACTCGTTGATGCCCGTTTTAATCACCGACGATGAAAAAAGTTTATGTGAATCAGCCCAAGTAAAAGTCATTAAATCTTTTATTTCCATCCAATTGAAGTAACAAATTCTCATTCTGGCTAATTTAATCGAAAGGGCCGTTAGATTTATGTTTACACTTTTCGAAATATTGAAAGTAATATTTCTGCCGTTGTTCTATTCGTGTATTTTCACTCATTTCAACGGGATGTGATAAATATTCGAAGTGAAAACTAAAAAAAAAACGAATTTGTTTTGAAGGTGAAGAGCAACAACAAGATGTTGTTCGACTGCTCAGTAAATAAATACAATGAAATAACAGTGAATAGCCGCCAAAACGCCAATATCTTTGCCAAGATCAAGTCAATAAACTGATGGTTTGGGTTTTTAATTGCATTCAATTTTGCTTATTTTTTTTCTTCTTCGCGAAACATAATCAAAAGTGTCAAAAATATATACATGGTCGAATGTTCCGGCCTATGATTTCATAATAAACACATCCTTCTGTAAAGAAAAAAAAGCATTGAATTATATTGAAATGATAACATCTTTGTGAAAAAAAAAAAAAATTGAATGTTATTAAAATTAAAATAATATTTTGCGTACAAATTGGACAAATCGATGTTTGCATCGCAAATGAATGTGCCAATCATTTCTATTAGAGCTCCAAGTGGTCGATACGAAGCCACGTGTGTTCGACGTACAGGAATTATGGAAGACTTAGATCTCAAGATCTACGTTCTTTGCAACAATTGTTTCTAGTGCCTTTTCTAATATCTTATTCTGTCGTTTTAACACAATACATCCACGCATTTCCTCTGACTATTGAACGAGACCTTCGGCAGTGTGATTTCTCAGTCAATTTTGGTGCGCATCAGTGCCTTCCACACTCAAACACTCATCAATCCCGTTGGTTTCTTTTGTAAATGTAGCGCTTATTTATTTACCAACTGCATTAGCTGTTAAAGTCAATCATCAAGCCAATTATAGATGACATATAATGCCTTTAAATTCAAATTCGGTCCAATCTGTACATAATTCTTCCAAAAGATCTGCAAATGTTGTTCATACCACGATTTATTGATGTAATCTGTATTCGAAAAGGAAATATCACATCCAAATTGAGGGGAGCAGTAATAATAATAAAGGAAAATGATTCTTTTGTTTGTTGGGAAAAAAAGTACAGTTCAAATGAAGACGGTCGCGTTGAGAGTTAGCCATAAGGCACACATGTGTTTTGATGCCTGTCGGAGCAAACATAATGGATCAATTCTCCCAACTGACCAATGACCGTTGGTTTTTCGGTGAACAAGGTATGGGCATATATCACGTCCTCCGATATGCACATATGCGTTCACTGGAAATTTCGCAAACAGTTGACATTGAACCAGCTTAGCGCTAAATAAATTTTTATTTTCAATCTTTAGATCGATATCATGAGGTTACGCATCAAATGGCTACTGCTACAAAATATCTTGATAACCAATTTTTTTTATGTAAATTTCGTTTCAATTTGACTAGCCCCACATTTCGAATTAAAACGTAGTTAAAACCAAAATACAGAAAAACTTCAATGTTCAACACAATTAATAGTTTGAAAATGGACATTTTGTGCGTTCAACCCGTCAATTGTATGTCGCTTTTTTGCCCTCATCAACATTCTTATTAAACAGTTAATCGGTACAATTAACAATGAAATGAATTAAAAAGTAAATTTACAATTGTTTTTTCCTTCAATTGAATAAAAAACGACAGGCCATCGAATCTGCAAGCGTTTCTCCCTCCGAATGCGATGAAGAAAAAGTGCGCAACTGTACCAATGATTTGATGATCTCGTCGTATGGTACACACAAACGGTACATCAATTCGATTGAAAACGCTTTTTTTTCTCTCACTCTCTCTCTCACTCTCGCTCATATAACGTTGTAAACTTGAAGGCGATAAGTTCTCGAGTAACAATGGCAGGACAGCATAGAAAAAATTCGATTTTGTTGATGTTCTTGTCGTTTTTATTACCGTTTAGCAAACCTCGTTAGAACAATCAAATTCAATTCAATTACCATGATTGTGTTTGCATGGTGTGGCGTTGAAACTTCTTTTGTCGATCATTCCCGCACCAACTGATAAATCCGATGGAGAAAGAACAAGTCAAGCCAAAGGAAAAACCCCAGGAAAAACCAGTTTGAAAACGCTGGATAACATGAGATAGAGAAAGAAACGAAATAGAAATTGATTGGTTCAATTCGAATCGGAACTGGCGAACAACAAAACACAGAAAATTCTCTCATTAAGAGATGAAATGTGCAGTATAATTAGACGTGCCACCGACAAATTGGATACTTTGGAACAATGAAATAATTAAATTTACGGTGTTTTTAGTGTTGTTTTTTTCTCTATATTTTTTTTGGGGGGGTTCCAATGACTTTTTTTGTTCTTATTGATTGTTTCATTATTGTCAATTGAGAAGAATGTTCTGCTCTGTCGCCACGTACGTTTCTGCTCTCGGTGATAAAAGCGAAACAAACGTCGATAACTGAGCGAGCTGTGGGGAGGTCAAAACAGCGGAAAAATGGAAAATTTACAATTTGCGGAAACAATGTGCCAAAGGGTGTTTGCACTTGGTGAGCTATAACATATTGACTAAACGGTTATTTGCAATACGCAAGGGCTACAAACAATGGCCTTCTACCAGAACTGGAAGAGTAGAGGAAAAAAAAACACGAAAAATCTAATGAAATAGAAAATCGCACGCGCATAATTCACAATAAGCATGATATCCACTGAGAGGCGAGCTGAAGAAAGAGGCGGCAAAAAAAACATACCCAACTAAAACACTTGATGGAATTTATTCTGAAAAATCAGAGTATTGATCTCTCTATCGTCGTACACGTTCACCTTTTTCTAGCCGGCTTCTTGCCCAAATCCATATCGTTAATAAATCCATTGTCACGGTTAAATACCGTTTTGCACTTCGTGATTTGTGTGAGCAGTTATATTCGAAATTTTTCTTTTATCTTTCTGGATTGTTTCCCTCTATTGTTTTTTTCTTCCACTGTGTCGTTTTTTTTCTCGTTGTTGTTGTTGAGCGCGTTCGTTGTCGTTTCGATGGCTTCGCTGGTGCCACACGTTCTGATCATCGAAATCGGGAAGTTGAACAAAAATAAAAGACTTATAAATCGAATGCTTCACTTGAATAATGTAAATGTGAAGAGCTAGATACGAAAAAAAACACACACACTGAAACGAAAAACGGAGAGTAAATTTTTACACACCAACGATCATTGGCCAGAATGTAAAATACAAAGAATTTTTCGAACGATTGAATGGGAAAAATGGCAAATAAACATCTGTCAACGCCGAAACACTGAATGTGAAAAACAAACGATCCGCGAAAACACTTGAAGCGATTTAATCGACTGGTTGACCACTACTCACAGGCTAAACGCCGGCAATGGCAACCGGTTCCATGAAATTTTCTCGAGCTATTTTTCATTTCATCGACCATTTGTTTTTCCTTTGTTTGTCGCTCATTTTTCCGTTCAGCAGCCATTTCTTTTCCGTTCCCCCACAGTCAATCGCGCGCGCACCCGTCATTCTCGTTCTTAGTTCATCGTCAAATTCTTGTTTGCTTTTTTTTGCGAGTGTTCTTTTTTCATTCATAATAATCATTGTATTCTGGAGAAGAGAAAAAAAAAATGGGCAACGAGCTCGTTTTGCTCAGATTTGCATTCTACAGATGAAAGCAAAATATACAGTTGAACGGCGAAGATGAATTGACTTTCTTTCTACAAATGAACCCGTGAGCATAAAAACGACTTATTAAACAATCGCCGAACAAAACGATACAAGAAAAAACTACCAAACAAAACACACGTTAAAAACGTAACACAACAGGACGGTACCGTTCAAAACGAAACTCCGCTGTGCTACACATTACCGCTGTGGTACGTTTTGTTCGGTAGTTTTTTCTTGTATCGTTTTGTTCGGCGATTGTTTAATAAGTCGTTTTTATGCTCACGGGTTCAAATTCGCTAGCGATCATCGAGAGAAGCATCATAATCGTTCAGCAATCGGAACATTACGCCTGATAGTGAAATCACAGCGAAATTGAATCGTTCAGTTGCACTCTTGTATTAATCATTCTTTGTTCCGAGGCCCCATTCAATGGAATAATTCATTTTCATTCATTTTCATTTCTTTTTGCTGCTTCGCACAGAACTCGGAACATATTGTTGTTTTCAGTTTTTGTATAACGAATGTTGTGATAATCAGAATTTTACTTGATTTTCTATCGATTTTTCT